TCTTTTAATATTTGTTGGTCCATCGATTTCCCTTTCAAGCTCATATAGAGAGGATCTTTCACGTCAGATGCTGGCACTCTGTTCCAAGTGTTTAACCCTCAGGTTAAAAATGGTGTTCAAATCGCAACAAACATTTTCTGGAAAGCTGAAAATGATAGAAATCTATAATGGCGCAGACCAAATAATTCTTTTATCGTTTCGGTGCCAGTGACACATTAAAGAAGGTAAATCATTCACTTTTCAACCATACATTATTTATTTGTCCAGGTCTCAGCAATTTATCAAATTTCCCAATTCTGAGATATTTTTAACGCTCAAGCTGAAATATTTAAAATTTCTTGGAGGCTGATAAGCCGTATAATAAAAATCAGTCAATCAAAAAACTGCTTGGATCTCGGCACATTTTTCATTCTTTTACATCCATAACTATCATGACTAAATATGATATTTTTTAAGAAATTCGCCCCAAGCAAGGCGGGTGTGCCACTAGCACGCAAGGGGTTACAGAGGATTAGGAACAAGAGTAAGGAGGCGTGTTTGAGGAAAGGATATAGAGAAGAACAGGGAACAAGATCAAGGTATCAGAAGATGTCGATTGTCATTACACTTGAATATTTGAAGATTATATTTATCAGGGAAGTAAGCAAGAAGAAGAGAGTTCCACAGATGGGAAGTGCAAGAGAAGAAGTTGTTCGAGTAGAATAGACGGTTACGTTTAACTATTCCGATAGTGAGAGGGTGGGACTGACATGCCAACCTAGTAGCTCGCTTAAATTCGCGCAGTCTTGGAACCAGCGAAAGCAATCGTCGGAACAGTTGCCGGGAAAGTACTAATAGAAGAGACAGAGGGAAGCCATGGCGCGTTTGTGAGAAAGCAACTGTAGACAGATGCCAGATCATGACCTATAACATTGCATATTCGTCTCTAGATTTTGTCGAGGTCCTCAAGATGAACAGTTGGGGCACCAGGCCATATATGACAACAATATTCCATGTAAGGACGGATGGTTGATTTATAGATTTGAAGGATGGACTCAGACAAGAAAAACTCTCTGGCGTGACACAGAGAACCAAATTTCCTTGTGGTTGATGAAGCTATTGATTCAATGTCTTTATTCCACCTCATTTCAGTGGACAGCCTGAGACCAAGCAGGCGTAACGAGGCGATTTCAAGGAGTTGGGTGTCAGCCATTCTGATGGGAGGCAGGAAGGATTCTCTGTGGTGGGTAAAGGAGAGTAGTTATGTTTACATTAGGTATTAAAGTTTACAAGCCATTTCTTGTCCCAGTTAACCACAGATTGGAGTTTATTTTCGAGGTCACCGCTAGGTTAGTTCTGTCAACGATACCAGATTTACTATTGAGGCAAGAGTAAATAGTAGTATGGTCCGCGTAGATGCCAACTTGGGAACTGATGTCATCAGGAATGAAGATCAGGATGAGTGTAAGGCCCAAGATAGAGCCTTGGGGAACAACAGACTTCGTGATAAAAGAAGCTGGTGGAGTAACCTTCATTTCACGGGTTGACAGGAATGATTATATAAGTCAAATAATCGTCCTGTATTACCGTATCCCTGAAGCTTACGAAGAAAGCCGTCATGGTAAACCCTATGAAATACTCGAGTTTCACCGTTGGTGTGAAGTACTTGGTATACAAATTTAGCAGTAGATCGGCCAAAGCGGAAACCATATTGCTTGTTAGTGAGCAGATTATGTGAAGTAAGGTGCTTAATAATTGGGCGTTGATAAAAGCATCGAAGACTTTATCGAAGAGTGGTAAGAAACTGATATGACGGTAGTTGGATGGGTCAGAAGTGTCATCAGAGTTCTTAACGACAGGCACATAGGATGAGGACTTCCAGCAAGCTGGAAAGCAAGAATCGGTTGTAAAGTTTGGAGAGGACAGGAGACAATTCAGGAGCACATTTCCTCAGGACAATGGCCGGTATCCCATCACCACCATTAGTTTTATGGGAGTCTAATTTAGAGATGATTTCTAATAACATCGTTGGCGTTATGTCCATCTCATTCAGTAGAGGCATACTTCTAGGGTGGAAATCAGGAGTGGGTACACCAGCTTGAGTCTGGCCTTGAATTGGATGAGAATTACTTAAAAATATTTAAAAATTATGAACAAACTTGGAAGCTAGGAAAATTATTTTAGGATTAATTTTCGTTCGTATGCATTTCCTGCTTTCACAATCATTCATCAGCTGGATATCACGTTGTACAATTGAATTAGTTTATAATAATTTCATAAAAAAAAGACCCGAAACGACCGAAAAATGTTTTCGCTAACAAATGTTGAGACTATAATAAACTGGAAGTAATAAATGAGAAAGATTTAAGATTAATAGGAAAAAAAAAGAACTTTATATAAATCATAAAGGGACAGGACTGCCGAAATTATCTGGGATACATAATGAAGAGAGAAGAATTGGAAAATTTAACATTCAAAATGCTCAGTGAAAACAAGATAAGCAGATTAAAATAATATATATATATATAAAAGTAAATGACAAGATCCGCGAAGACAAAGAGAATCTATTGCTGAAAACAAGTAGAAATGAAAAGAAATATAATCATACACATTCTGAAGGAATATATACACACACACACACACACACACACGTATATATATATATATATATATATATATATATATATATATATATATATATATAATGAAAATGAAATCAATGCCAGTCTAGGAGAAAGAAGACTGACTTAAAACCGGCTGAATGTACTCATAAAACGTGAGAAGGAATTTTTCTAACTATTCTTTTCAGCTGAATCTCTAAGAGTGGTTTTGTATTTAATCTTTAAAAAGTTTACAAAACAATGCATATTGAAAAAAATAATTTTCTTTTAAACTATGATCGCCTATACAAAGCGTCTGCCTTAAAAATCTTCCATTTATTTTAAAAGAAAATGCAAGGCTTTACTCCACTTTTTGGATGATTTGAACAAATCACCGAAATCGAAGGGAATACAACTATATCACATGAAATCTTTGATCAAGTGGAAAATTTTGAATCGAACAGCGATACTAAATGATGCATTAAGTCATTTTTATGACCTTATACAATAGAAGTATGGATATCATATACTGAAAAATTTCATGGAAGTTTATTTCGTTTTTTTTTTATTTATTATTTTGAAATTGCATACATAGATCTTTTTCATCTTCAAATAATTATAGTAAATATAAAATTGCGTCCAATTTGCTTTCGTGACTGTATAAATTAATATGAATTTGTAGGTGGCGTAACGATTATCGGAGAAAGAAATGGAATATTCAGGTGGGGGTTCAAAATCCAGTAGAAAGTTTTGTAATTACTTCGCATTATTGCCTTTGGGTAAAGAATGATCATGGATTTAATATAGATTAGATTGTAAGGAACTAGCCCTGGTATGGCAACCAACTTAGGAAAAGAAAATCCAAGAAAGCAACGAGCAAAGGCATTAAAAAACGAAACTGGAAGCTGCCATGTCAATCTATGTACTAAATGGACATGACATTAAAGAGTACTGTCATTTATAAAAATATTACCAGAAAGATACACCGTGTAGTTATTTTTAATGAAGTTTTATTAAGAGTTAAAGATCACTTACGTTAATCGTATTTGTTGAGATAAAAATCATAATTATTGATTAAGCAAGCATTTTATTCTACGCACCTTTACCAAAAAGCAATTTTTTTGTTATTTTATAAAGTGACGCAATTTCATAAAATAATATTTAATAAAGGGCTCAACTTCACACATCCTTCAGTGAGTCCCCCGACAATAAATCTATCACGATAGAACTCGCCATAAAATGTTTGGCACAAATTCTCTCGCTATGGAATCTCTAGTGATGTCTTCGCAAATATCAAGTCCTTTGTGTTCGGTAGATCGTTGTTAATGTTCTTCTGAAGCCGATGAAATCAATGCAGGTGTCCCCAACCCCACGAGGCTCTTACTTGCTCCTAATCTCTTTCTAATTTGACGATTGTCAGATAAATATTAAACTATCTATGCAGATGAATCATGGCAGTAATAGTAGACATCTAGATGATCAGAGCTTACCAGCCGATCTCTCTTTTGAACTAGCTTTAACAGTTTAATGCAGGGGACATTTTGTAACTTTCAATATATAAAATGTAAACTGGTAACTTTTTTCCACAACGAAGCAGGCTCTGAATCCCGCAAGTCATAATGAATGTATTTTTTTTAAAATAATGATGTTCCCTGTGTACAAGTCTCGAGGCGCAGGTTATGTGGATATATGTGGAAGACAACCATTAACCCTAGTTTTGCATTCTCAAATAGCCCCTTTACTTTGAATATCTACTAGAACTCAGTTTCACTCCAGATCTCAAGGGAAACTCATATATACGATCTATTGCTAAAGATGGAAACATAGTCTGCTACTTATACCGATCCAGAAATTATCTGCCTTCTACTGCTATGCCGTATCTTTACAGGAGTCAAATCAGACCAAAAATGGACTGTTGCGATCATATCTAGGCTGGAGCTGCCCATTCCTCTTTCTCCAGGCTTGAAAAAGTTCAAAATCATTTACAAAGCCTTGAAGGTGATGAATTATTTTCAACCCTAAAATCCCCCCCCCACAGATGCAACATTCCAAGCCTATCACTATTTTCATAGTTCAAACTAGCTTCATTTTTACTCCCATCAGTTCAGACTGTTACAACAAGGACCCGACATGAACACAGTGTCGAATCATCCCTTTCTTATTCCACTGGTAAGAACGAAGTTCTATTCAGACAGTTTCTTTTCCCAAGAGCCTCTGCGATTTGGAACATACTCCCGAGATTATGCTTCCCCGATTATTACGATATAAACACGGTTATAACGGTTATATATCCTACATAACCTCATAATTTGTATTGAGTTGCGCCTCTTACGCTCATAAAAGAACTTTCAGTGACCGTATACCTTGAGTGTATCTTGGGCTTTGAATTGAATGAACAATAATAAAATAAAAAAAACTTACCCCACCCGCTGATTATATACCACTTTGTTCGTGGGTTGTCCGCAAAAACAGAAACGTAAATAAGGGTGTGTAGATAAAGACCCTCAATGAAGACCCACATATAATTGGCTCCAATGGTGTAGTTAATTGTAGTAAAGAAGAGTTTGCAGCCCCAGCGCTGAAATAAAAGAATACGAAAAACAAGTATTAATATAATTCATGCACAAGTTTGTAAATAATGTTAAAGTTTCTGGTTTTACTTAAGTATAACTTAAAGGAAATACTTTATGGCGTCACTTTGATAGTTTCTAACTGTAATTCTCACCAATGTGACGTTTTGGGACCATACAGATACTCTCTCTCTGTCTCTCTCTCTCTCACTCTCTGTCTTTCCCTCACACTCTCTCTCTCTACATATATATATATATATATATATGTGTGTGTGTTTGTGTGAGAGAGAGAATTAGAGAGAGGGAGGATGTGTACAACAGATGTCATTCTTTGATGACTTTGGAATCATTCTTAATTCTGAAACATGTTTGTTAGAACACGTGATCATTATATTTGGAGCTAATTATCTTCATATCGCGTAAGAAAAAGGGAATTCGACTTTATGGTTGAAAAATCACGAAGAATTCAGATCTCAGGAGAAAACTTAAGAAAAGTTGATGTCAAATAAGAGATAACATTTCTACATCAGTAATCACTACAGTCAAGGAAGAAGCTTTTAAAAAAAATACATTTCGTCTGATCACTTACAACAACGTTCACACCCAAGAAAGAAAAAAATTATCTGTTCTAGTCGCTGATATATTTCGTAGTGAAATGCAAGAAATCACGACATCAGGTAAATTTATTACAATTACTGCCTCATTTAATTACGATTTGAATATCTAAATCTTTCTGTTATATAGAACTAATCAGTTTATTACCCTGAAAGAAATGTCCTTTTCCTTATCGCTCTGACAAAATGTCTTTTTCTTTGTCGCTCTGACAAAATGTCCTTTTCGTAATGACTTTGAAAAAATGTCCTTTTCCTTATCGCTGTGACAAAATGTCCTTTTCTTTGTCGCTCTGACAAAATGTCCTTTTCCTTATCACCAAGCATTTCAGGGTAACAATGAGTTTATTGCTTCATTTTCCGATTGATACTGAAACGAATTTTAAAGCATTCTTTCAATTTAAATTTCAATCTGTTCAGGTTGTAGAAATATTTAGATTAAAATAAGTTCTACGGCAAGCTTATTGCTGGTGATTCAAACTCAGCAACAGCACCTTCATGATGGCACGTGAGTTAGATGATACTGACGCCTGTGTGAGAGTGGTCAGGTGAGTGGTAAATGTTTGACCTTGTAGGTTAACTGGAGTTCCTCATGTCACATCCTTCTAAAATTCCCAGCAACCGTCTGCTGTGCGCATGTGTAGTGCTACCAACATAACAAAATTAGTCCGATGAAGTCCTTTCCCACTTTGTCATAAAATTTCTCCAATATTGTTCTTTATATATATATATATATATATATATATATATATTGCTGATACCACTGACAAATGTTTACTTATTCTTTCTTTGCTTATTTATTTATTTCATGCTTACTACTTTTCTATTTTTATTTATTCATTTATTTAATTTGATTTATTTTATGTTTATATTATATTTATTTTTATTACTGCTTAGATGGCAAAGTAAGTATTTATTTATATGCCTACACTTAGGCATTATATCAGTTTTCTTGTTTAAGGGTTTATTTTGTTTTCTAAAACTAATTATTGCTATTTTTCATCTAAGCATAATTTATAATGTTTATACTATGGGGTGACCCTTTGTATAAATTCTCATTTAATTTTGGTGGGATATTGTTTTCTTTTGGGTTCATAGATATTTTGATAGGGTTGTGCTGTTTGTGTATTTTTCCTTCAAAGGATATTTTATCCTTGTAATATCTTCCTTTTAAATTTTTTTCCTGTAGCACCTATATAAATGTTTTCGTCTGTGTTAATATTATTAGTTACGGTATCTTTGTAAATTAGGTTATTGGTTAAAATTTTATTGTCAAGTGGGCAATTCCTTTGTTTCTGCAATTACATCTGTTAGTGTAATTTTGCTGTATTGTCATTGTTGTTGTAATTGCTATTGGTCTTGTTGAGTATATTTTTATTGTGCTTACTTATTATTTTCGCCATGTTATCAGTGCAGATGTAAGTAATTTTGATTGTTTTTTATTGATAATTTTCTGTTTTTAGGAAAGTTTTTTTCATCCAATTTGAAGAATATTTTTCTAATTTCGTCTTTATTTACATTGTTATGGTGGGGAGCTGCTACAATTTGTGGAAATCCTTATATTTATAGATAGGGGTATATAGATAGGGGTATATTTATAGATAGGGTATATATTTGAATACGGTAGAGAGGTGAATGAAATTCTGTTAATATATATTGGGTTGTTATTTGGTTTTCGATATAGTTTGTATGTTCCGTTGTTTAGGTTTAAAGTGATATCTAGGAATTTTACTACTTCTGGTTGAATTTTATATTGGTAGAGAATCCTAGGACTTTGACGGTTTTATTATTTCTTATTTTGTCTTTAATTCTGGCGTTGTAATTTATTAGAATTAATAGTCCACCGTCCCATATCTATTTTGTTAATTATATTTGCTAATTATTATGAATATGCCGACGAGTTTGCATACTTAAACACCATCATTATTATTATTGTTGTTTTAGTCCGTTTCTGATTTGTATAATATAGATTTTAGGGAGTTTTATTGTATTTACTTAAATAAATCGCATCTGTTAAAGTAACGTATGAACAAAAAATATATTAAATAACTGTCGGACTTAATGCATATTACTATCTATCTATCTATCTATCTATCTATATATATATATATATATATATATATATATATATATAGATAGATAGATATATAGATATAGATAGATAGATAGTTATATATATATATATATATATAAAAGTGAAAATTGAAGTCAATGCACAGAGGCAACAGACTGTTTCATGCTAAGCGCAATCATCAGGCCACATGCGTTGTGTTTTTACTTGGCTATAAATACGGGTCAATGATCATCACCTGATGATTGCGCTTAGCATGAAACAGTCTGGCGCCCCTGAGTGTTGAACTCAGTATTCAATTATATTTATTAGAAACTGTTACATTGGAACATGCAATTGACCACGGCAAAAATGAATATTTATTTCGATGTCTAATTTAGACATCTGATCAGGTCGTTATCTATTGTTCTAATCTTGTATTGAGCCCTTCTTACATTAATGTTATTAACGACTAAATTTATAATCTTTTCATTCTTTAACTTATCTCTCTCTCTCTATCTCTATATATATATATATATAATGAAAATGAAATCAATGCCAGTCTAGGAGAAAGAAGACTGACTTAAAACCGGCTGAATGTACTCATAAAACGTGAGAAGGGATTTTTCTAGCTATTCTTTTCAGCTGATTCCCTAAGAGTGGTTTAATGTTTAATCTTTAAAAAAGTTTACAAAACAATGCATATTGAAAAAAATAATTTTCTTTTAAACTATGATCGCCTATAGAAAGTGTCTGCCTTTAAAATTTTTCATTTCTTTTAAACGAAAGTGCGAGGCGTTACTCCATTTTTTGGATGATTTGAACAACTCACAGAAATCGAAGGGAATACAACTATATCACAGGAAATCTTTGATCAAGAGGACAATTTTGAATAGGACAGCGATACTAAATGATACATTAAGTCATTTTTATGACCTTATACAATAGAAATATGGATATCAGATACAGAAAAATTTCACGGAAGTTTATTTCGTTTTTTTATTTATTTATTATTTTGAAATTGCATACATAGATCTTTTTCATCTTCAAATAATTATAATAAATATAAAATTGCGTCACATTTGTTTTCCTGACTATGAATTAATAAAGAATTTGCGGGTGGCGTAACGATTATCGAAGAAAAAAATGGAATATTCAGGCGGGGTTCAAAATCCAGTAGAAAGAACGATCATGGATTTAATGGATTAGATTGTAAGGAACTCTCGGGGTATCTAGCTCTGGTAGGGCAACCAATTTAGGGAAAGAATACCCGAGAAAGAAACGAGCAAAGGCATTAAAAAAAGAAGCTACGTCAGTCTACGTGCATAATGGTTATGGCATTAAAATTACAGTCATTTAAGCAAAAATATTACCAGAAAGATACACTGTGTAGATATTTTTAATGAAATTTTATTAATAGTTGAAGATCACTTACATCTTTAACGAGTAAAACAGGTATTTTCTTATATCGGGAAAGGCATTAGTGAATTTTCAAAATTAGGATCAGTACAGGGATATTTAAATACTTTTTAGTTTCGGAAACTGTTTCATTTCACCGAAGTTATAAATAATAAATCCTTTATTCTGATAATGTTTTTAGCCCTACCAACACGTCTCCCGAAATAATATTTATAGATCGAGCATTGTTTCTATGTCGAGTGTCGCTTCCATTTGCTTTGAGTATTTGGCATTGTGTTTTTTTCTCTTATTCTAGGTTATTTAATCTATGCAAATTATTTAGGCTAGGTTAAATTGATCTGGTATAACGTTACAGTCGCCGTAATAGGAGAAGCCATCGTATTTGACTGTCTGTTATCATTACTGTTCCTCGGATTTAAACATTATGAAATTCTCTTCTAAGATGGACAATCAATTCATTTAGTTTTGAAAATATTGCATTGGATGTGATATAAAAATATCTTCTAAATTTTCCTAAGATTTTAAGCAAACGTGACATTTTGTGGTAGAGTGTATTGGTGCAAAAACACAATGCGACTTTAGGCCATTCAACCCCGGCCTCCAGATAACAATAAAAATCAAACCAAAAATCGGGCGAAAAATATAACTTTAACTCTTATATAATGATAAAAAAATACTAGGTTACTTAAAAATCTAAAACCGAAAAGAGTAAATAAAAATATACAGTATAATAAATAAATAATAATAAAAAAAAACAAGTAAAATAAATTAATCTAAATTAGTCCAAGTAAATAAATAAATAAACAAACAAACCGGTCACGATGAATTAAAGTAAAGATAATCAATACAAATATATAAATGAAGTAATAAACAAATTAAAAACTGTTCCCGCCAAAATAATAGTTAGAATAAACTACAGCGATTAACA